AAAATAAATAACGAAAACGAACACAACAAACATTTTTACGAACGAATAATAATGTATGGCCATACAACTCTCGGTGCGACTGCGGGTTCAGGATGTAGGTCTAGACTTTAATTTTTTTAAATTTTTTAACTTTAACTTTTAACTTTTAATTTTATAACTTTGTTTTTTTTTATAGCTTAAAGATAAACAAGGCGAAATTGAATCGGTTCCTTCCTCCTTTGGAAATAGGGACATTTTAGCTTATAACCTCAAATTCTTAACCTAAAATCTGATTGGCACATCTACTTAAAGAACTCAATTATATCGAGTAGTTTTGATATGCTCTTTAATAGGGTAGTATAGACTTTTACACACTACAATTTGCACTCAATTATGGGACTGAACTCTGATGTGATTCCTATCATGGTACAACGTTTTGCGATTAAAAAATAAATCTGCAGTTTGGTGACAATGTAACCCAGCTCAATTCGTTAAAAGAAAATTTTCTTGAAATAAAATCTTTGTATTGTCATATTATTTTCGAACATACATACATGTCATATTAACGTAATAATTCTTTGTACAGAGCATGGAAGTGATCATCCTTTCACTATTTGGTAAGAATATTACGGTGCCAAAAATTCTCAGAAACTGACATAAGTAGTTTTATCTGCTCAAGCAATATTCTCATAGCTGCAGTCAAACCAGTTCAGCCAAAACAGTCTCCATTTATCTGTTTGGGGCATCCTCAAAACATATCCTCCCTGAACTCTCGTTGAAAGAGTAAACTATTTATGTTGCCATTGTGTTATTTAGTGCTGCCATCAAGTGGACAATAAAAAAACAAAAACTTTATCTGAGCAGCAATATAAACTTTCTCTTCCTATCGTTTTCAATCATGACTAGAAGCAACAACTTGTCTAGTACTCTTCATAAAACGTATATAGTTTAAAGCTAAAGTAAATTTTAAGTTGTGGTTTATATTTTATCTTATTAATTTTCCTAAATGTCAACATGTAGAAGTGGGTAAGAACTCTACAGTTTTCTATCTCAAATGAGCTAGTGAATAAGTGTATTTTTTGGGAATTGGTCCAAACAATAACTGCAGTAGCTCTTCTTCAACTACGTGTGCTAAAGTTTTTTTTTGTATTTTTCATATGTATTGTTTTGTTAGAATTTTTACCGTCAAATAAATAAATAAATAAATAAAAAAGCAATCATTCACAAAATTGATCAGTTGTATAAATATCGTCATATTTATTCGTCGCACACTGGCTGTCAAACAGAATGTCTTAGAGACCAATCTCTTTATATAGTAGCTTAACCTGAGATAATCAAAACTTGCTTGTATCTGTAAAAATGCATACTCATAAATTATATACATATATCTATATATATATATATATAAAACACAACCTCAAAATCCACTGATATTTTAAACTCCCGCCTCAAAGCGTCAGAGAAAGTAATTTATGAACCACTTTCAAGTGAGGTATGTATTATGCATTCGCAACCACATTTGAAACTGCTCTTCATGCAAAGATTAAAACATACTGAAACATTTATAGTACTAAATAAGAGAGTGCATTTCCCAATATGAGGAATAATATAGAAGCTGGTAATAAATAATATTGGTAGCTAAACATCTATATAAAGATCGAAATAAAACAAAAGAGCCTAAAACGTTTTTATCAACTGATTTGGAACTCATTTAAGTTACAAATTTAAAAATATTATGGCCAAGAACAACACCACAGTAGCTTTTAAATCTGTTAACAAACTTGGATCTGTGTTAAAGGAACGTCCTCTCATATCTACACCAAACTAGGATAAGACTGGTTTTTACAAAATTAAATGCAGCAATTGTGATAATTATTACATGGGCCAGACATCACGCTGTTTTTAAAACGGTTTAAGGAGCACATCCCCAAGAAAACCACGTCCACACAACCCTCAACTTTTTCAGAGCATGCAATAACAAACAACCATAGCTATTCCAACATCAACGATGACATGACTGTTTTACATGTCAGTAAAAACAAGTTTCAGATCAACACATTGGGATTTATGAGGCAATCAAATCAGACAGACAAAACGTGCTAAACGATAAGATTTCATTCGCCCCTAATTTGATCTACACACTACAATATAAATAATGGAAAGGGATAGGGAGAAGAAGGAAACCCACAAACAACCTGTTACTGATAAGACGCACCGACCATAGTGCCCGGCAGTCTAGATGTAACCTTCCGCTGTTTTTTTTTTAAGCTAGGCCTGGTCATGCGTGTTGTGTGTTAAAAATTTGTTCTATGTTTTGTAAATAAATATTTATGAACTTTTATGACCTTCGGAAGAAGCGACAATGTCCTTGGGAAAACCTGAAGAAGGCTCCATTGTGAGCCGAAACTAGTTGTTACACAACCACTAGGATAATCAAGATTACAGACATTTAAACCTCTTTAATTGAATAATATTTAATTAAATAGTATGTAATAGAATCTGTAAGAAATTAAATATGAAATCCATTCCAGTGTAAACAGGATATAACACATATATTAGTTATTGTGTTATATGTTACAATGTTGACTTCAAAACAATATATTCAAAGAGCAGAATATAATGTACTACGTTGGCCAAGAACATGATACTCTGTACGATAGGCCAATTAATCCCAAACCAATTTAACCACGGTTGTCATAGTAACGAAATGTAATTACTACAGCTTGCTGGTTTTAATAGTAGGTTGAACCGCATTAGTCGTTATATAAACCTCAGCAAATACTGACAAAATCTTACATATTAAGTTTTAGGTTTTTACATTTTGGGTATGCACTCCTAATTAAATTCTGGTTTATAATACATGAAACAAATTAAATTAAGAAAATATTATTGACATACATTGAAGGATGTCTGTAGAATTTATTTTTGAAAAAAAAAAAATTAAGACGCTCATATCAAGTGAAAGTTATACCATACTGTATAATCCTATAAGATGCTGGTTTCGTCTGTAAAATGCCTGTAAATTATCACTATATCCCTCCATATAGTAGCAAAATAATGCAAAAAAAAGTATACAAGGGGTTAATTGAATTTTTTGATTTTAATTAATAATTATTCGAGTAGTTGGCATTGGAATTTTTTTTTGCTATTTCATATTATTGATCTATTCCAAAATTCACCTATAATCGCAACGTAAATATAAATATCTCGTTTTTGTCTTAATATAAACAAGTCACTCTGTAGAAGGGTTGTTTCACTAAACATCACATCTGGTGCTTTATCCATTGTTTTTTTAACTTAAGATTTTTGTTATATTTACTTAGTATGATTTATTTACTAAACCGTTGTCAACCATACCTTTGATCATCCAAATTAGCCTTTGGATTGTGTTTAGGTTGTATCTAGCAAAGCAAGAGGTTAGCCAGTACAGGACAGAGTCAACTGTAGTGATAAAATAATATTAATGGTGTCTCCAGGACAGTATGTCGTGCTACCAACTAGGGATGGGTCGGTACACTAGGAACTAGTCCAAAGTAACTAGTTCCAAAATGTACCGATGTTCCTGGATCGGTACTTTTCAGTACCGATCGGTACTAGGTCCAACTGGTCCAAGGGAATGTAACGGCAAGACTGGTTGGTAGAGGTCTCGCGGGCCCGCGCAGTACCTAACCTAATACGGACGCTCTCTCTCACCCCCGCCCCTCCCCATCGTTATACTTGCTGGTATTCCGTCAATCCGTCCCGTCCCATCCCTTGACCCTTGCCCTCTGTCTCTGTTATCAGTCAGTGTCTAGGTTAGGTATCTACTTCAGTTCCATGTCCATGTACCTGTACCTACCTGTCACCTGTACCTATACAGGTTGTCGGGTTCATCGGTACTTGACTTCTTGACTTGACCGTGTGTACTACGTACGTGTTACCCATTGGACATTAATGGACAACTACATGCTTTATTTATAAGAAGTTTAAAGGTAATTAATTATTTTTGTAAATAGTATAATAGCGAGTTTAGACACTACCAACAATTTTCAAATTTGTATATATAATACACTTTATAATTAAATACAGTAAAACGTTTTGTTTTTTAAAATGTTTGTTGGTACGTCTAAATTCTATATTTAACTAATTTTTAATAGGCCCTATTATTATTATTTAATTATAATAGTGATGAGTTAGGCTAAATTATTTCTGCCCTATGAACTCGTGGTTTAATTTTCTATTACATGGCTTTCATTATATTACCCCTTTAAAATAGTGTACAAACATAAAAAATATAATGAAGCCTAATTATATTCTGGGTTGTTTTTCAGACCCTGTTTTTGAAACAATGCCCCCTGTAAGAAAAACCAGCGAGGTTTGGAACCACTTTTCTATATCTGAAAATGGAAAATCGGCAAAATGCAGTTATTGATTGTGTATGCTATCCTACACAAACGGGTCATTAGGAAACCTTTCCAAGCATTTAAAAAAAAAAACACCCTTCCGTTGTTTTTGTTAGACAGACATCTATTCAAAAAGAGCTCTGTCCAACTTCAACAAATAGTAAGAGTGTCAGTGATTCCCATTTGGAAGACTCTACAACCTCTCAGCCATGTTCGTCTAACACAATGCCAGCAGTAGCAAAAGTAGCAGTAGGCCCTACACTAAGTAAACTTCCTAAATCAACGCCTGGCGCTATGTTAGATTTTGTGACGGTCACCAAACCAATGAATGTTAACAAATCTAAATTAATTGACCGCCAGATTGGTTTAATGGTAGCAAAGGAATTTCATGCCTTCAGAATTGTGGAAGGGAAAGAGTTTAGAAAACTTCTAAATCTGTTAAATCCATCATATATGCCACCTACTAGAAAGACAGTTTCTAATAGCATAATACCCCAACTGCACAATGAAGCTTTGCAGGCAGTCAGGTCAAAACTAGCAGAAGCTCAAGCTGTTTGTTTGACCACAGATGGATGGACGTCAAACACAAATGTTAGCTATGTTGCGATAACTGCCCATTTTTTATCCAAGAGGAATGACATGGTTTCAGTTTTGCTACAGTGTGTTGAATTTCAAGACAGGCACACTGCAGAAAACTTAAGTGACCAACTTAAAGCAGTTGTCAAGGAATGGGGTATAGACAACAAAATTGCCGGTGTCGTTACTGACAATGCCGCAAATGAAGTAGCAGCCATAAGGCTATGTGAATGGAGACACATCCCCTCTTTTGCACACTCGCTCAACTTGGTTGTGCAGGGATCACTAGACAACATTAAACCAATATTAGTCAAAGTTAAAGCTATTGTAGAGTTTTTTAAGAGAAGTTCTCAGGCTCTAGCAAAACTTCAAAATATGCAGGAACAGCTAGGCCTGCCAAAACTAAAACTGATTCAAGACGTTGTCACGCGGTGGAATTCCACCTACGACATGGTTGAGCGTTTTTGCAATATGAAGGACGCTATAGTCTCAACCGTAGCTCTTCTGGAAACAAACCTAACCATGTTAACTCCACATGAATGGAAAGTTCTCGATAAAACTAGAGAAGTCCTCTCTATTTTCAAAGAGGTGACTGAAGAAGTCAGTGTTGAAAAATATGTATCTCTATCCAAAGTCATTTTATTTGTAACAGCCATCACTTCAGACCTACATGCATCTGATTCCGAGGACATGCCTAGTGAAGTAAGAGATCTTGTTACTGATCTGAAACTAGGAATGGCAAAGAGATTTTCTTCAATTGAAGAGAACGACATGTTCACACAAGCTAACTTGCTGGACCCAAGATACAAAAAACACAGTTTTTTAAGTGAGAACAAATACAAAGTTGCTCGTGACAGACTAAAACAAAAAGCGGCCTCTACAATCGTTTCTTTTGATGAGGAACCAAGACTACCAAGCACAGTTAATGCCACCGATACATCCGAGCCAGAAGTATCAAAACAAACAACCACACAAAAGAAAAAAACCCGATTGTATGAAAAGTTCGACAAAATAGTGGAAAAAACTAAGGAAAATACCAACAAACTTGCCGCAGGGATAATCGAAGTTGAGAAATATATGGACGAAGAATTGTTGGACCGAAAAGAGGACCCTATTCAGTGGTGGAACGATAGAAAAAACATATATCCACGTCTTTTCAACTTGGTCAAGAAGCGGCTGTGTATGCAAGCTACCTCGGTTCCATGTGAACGGCTCTTCTCCAAAGCAGGGGAATTCCAAAATGAGCACAGAACTCGCCTAAAGCCAACTAAAGTTTCCAAACTTTTATTTATAAATCATAACTTGTGAGATGGACGGCTTTGTGCGTTTATAAATGATGTAACAGTAACAATTTTACATTATTATTACTCTCTTTGAGTCATTGAGTTGGTATGTAACGTACTATAGATTTGATTTGTATACAGTTAACTGTATAGCGTGATTTTTATATTTTCAAACTTTAAAATGTGTTCCTGTGTTTTATTACCATTTTGTTATACAAAGTTCCTACCTAAGGCTGTACACTTATAAATAATGCATTAGGCCTAACTGTATATGTTTAATTTGTATACGTTAACACTAATTGTATAACGTGATTTTATATTTTGTACCTTAACACTTGATCTTGGGTTGTATTAACTTTATACCTATTAAAAAATAAATTTAAAATGTCTACCTATTTTATTTCCCGGAGCTTAGTTTAATATAAACTTAGTTTTTTTAAAAAAACCAGTTACTTTAATTATATATTTCATCTTATTTTAAAGCCATGTAATAGAACAGAATAAATAACTAGTCCTAATAGCCTACTATGATTATAAATTATTTGTCTGGAATTAAAACTATGAATGAAACCGTTTTTAAATGCAGGGTTCTTGGTTCAAAATATATTTAAAAGAATAGTTGTTTTCCATTGTGTACCGATCCAGCGTGGCAAAAATGCCGTGTCCGGGCGCTGGCAGTTACTGCCTCAGGTCCTGTACCGATAGGTACAAAGTAACTAGTCAATGTACCTAGGTACTCTCATGGACCTGGACCGACTGGAACTAGTATGTCAAAGTACCTATGAAGGCCATCCCTACTACCAACTGAGCCACCCAAGATATATTGATTATAAACCAATGACAACAAAACGGGTCACAACATGTTTCACAAGACAAGACGGGTGTGCCGTGACGTCATCACTCGGGCTAGCCACCTCCTATACCTAATACATCTGGTGAGCATCAGACTCATCCATTACTTGTAACATGTACACATTATATATTCTTTAACAGTAAAATTTGAATAACTGGGCTACTTAGTGGTGTGATCGCCTGACAAGCATTGTTTCCAGATAGATTTTGAGAAAGGTCTGTAGCTTTTAGATGGTTTAAAGCTGGACCCAACCGTCCTCGACAATTCTTATTCAGTAACCAGGTTGTAAAATGTCCACTCACACATAGCCCATTCATATTTTGGTTGAAATCCCAATCAATTATATATCAGCTATAATATAAATTTAACTTGACTTATTTTCTGCGATTCAAAGGTACATAGGACGCCAACCATATCTCTCTAGCGTACTCGGTATGAAGAGGATCCTCTTCACTTTCTGCCATGACCTCCCAATAATAGGACCCCCATTAAAAATTGATAAAAATACAGAACAATATTGTTACTTCCTTATTTTTAAGTCGCGTCAGAATAAATTACTCAATTTAAAATAACAAATGTTGGAATTTCCAAGTAATTTAACATGACATTTCTCAAGTGTCACTACTAATATCATTTTTGATAGATAACCTGGTTGTTTCGTTGACTGATTACTCTGAGGTTGTCATGTTGGTTTCTTCATATGGTTCCAAGACATATTTCATTGTATGTGTGGAAGATATCACGACCGACGCAACTGACTAGGGTTTAGTTGCTTAGGTAAAATATTTTTCTTATTGTGTGTAACAATGAGTGATACCCTTTATTTCCTTTTACCCAACAAAATCAATCAATCTTTCCATTTTATACTACATTGTATGTCGCATTACGTTACAACTTTGACTATACCATTTTCTTGAGGATATCATACTACAAATTAACCATGAACGCCTTAAAGTTTTTTTGGTATAATTTCTAAAATTATCAATTTTACAATCGACCACATATATTAAATGTTAGAAGGTGAAATCATCAGTGAAATCATTTTATTTTTATGTGCATTGATTTTATAATCTTTTTGATTTGCAAAATATGCTCTGCTTTTGGAAGTTTACAAACAATAGCCTATGTAATAGGGGATGTATAATCAGCAACGGCCCTGTATATCCCCCCTGTGATATCCCGTGCATTGCAATGGGAATAATTCATGTTGTTCGGCTTTGTAGTTTGAAGTGATGCGTCCCTCTGGATTGGATTGTGACATGTTTATAGACAAGTATTCTAACTGTAATATTGCCATAGATGTAATACAGATTTACTAGGTTTTCATTGTTTAGGTGAGAATTGAGTTTGATATTTTTGTAGATTTATTTACGATAAATATTATTAGCATAAGGTTATCCTTGCCTTATTTTTCAAAATTGAACTGCAAATCTAAGAGATATAGCATAATGTTAATAGCTTATACAGTTAACTAACCCTTGTGGAATCAAAAAATAATTTTAATAATTTAACATAATTTTTCACCAACATCAAATGAGTTTGTTAAGCCCATGAAACAACTTCAAGCGGTGTTTTTTAGGGTTGTCTCTAAAATTGCCTTTTGTGATTTTTTAATATTTTAAAATAGGTGTTTCAGTAATGTAGAAAGGTATCTTAAGCATACAGATAGTAAAATGTAGATTGTAATAACAGAAAAATTTAATTGATTCTTTAATTGATCTGAACTACTCTAACCCTGTCAAACAACAGATTGAATCAACTAAGCATTAAGTTAAAAGTTCTAAGTGGCTAGCAGGTCAGTTCCGGCCCTTAACATCTCTAAAGAGTTTTTGTCGACTTATTCCAACATATTCCGTCTTTACTGTTTCTTTCTTTGGTTATAGAGGGAACAATAAGCTATTAACCAGTCTAGTGTAATATATCTGTTATATTTATTACAGTTTCAATGGAAAAATAAGTTCTCTCTCCTCAATTCAATGAAAATTTTCTACGTCTTCAAACTGTTAGTTATTAATCAAGCTTTTGCGTTCTACATTTATATAGAGCTACAGAAGGTTGTCCGTTTTTTTTAAGTAATAAATTAGTTTTACAATAAAAAAACACATTATTGTTTATTATCCAATGTCGATTTTCTCTACTAACTTATTAACACTTACAATAAATTATTCTAAACCCCTACGGCTAGATGGTGTGCTCAGTAAACAGTATTAAATGTAAAAAATGTTCATGAATGGTAGACTACGAATATTAGAGAAGAAATAACCCTCGTTTGTTTTATGAAGTGCTGGGCTCGTAAACTGTGGGTGCTGGAGTTAACAGCTTTCATAGTTTTTTACTGCCGGAGCAGAATTCACCCGTTAGGCCACGATAAAAACCATATAAAACTATGCAAGAGTTATTCTTTATATACTGTATACCGGTACATTATTTTAGCATTATTATTTCAACTTGGGTAATATCATCTGGTTTGTAATGTTTTCATTGTTTTTCGAATAGTCGCAGCAAAAGCCTCAGTAAATATTGTTTTAATATAATTTTTAAGTTTTTTTAACATTTACTAAATTTAAAAATAGTGTGTTTCATCATTCAATGCTTTTCAATATAGATATACTTAAAATGTTCTTATTAACGCTTGGGCCATATTCATAATTAGTGTTCAGGTTTTATTACTATTTGTACAATTGATGAAGGTAAAAATGTTTACTTTAAATGTATTACAGTAATATTTAAATTTTTTATGAGCTTTCAAAAGTTAAAAAAAAATATTGACTGTTGTTAAGTAGGACATTTTAAATTCACAAGAGAGCACATCGTTCAAAATTTAAAACTTTTAATTATACAACGTTTACACTTTGAGTTTGTATTATGAAGCTTTATTATGATATATTATTTGAACTTAGTCAATAGTAACAATTAAGAACTAGTAATTAAAGTAATATATGACCTACATTTAAAATATTTCATTGAATTCGTAAATATTTTAAAGGTGATAATTTCATGCGGTCACAAAAACTCTCATGAAATGATTTTAAAGACCATGGTACTACGTCCCACACCAATATATGACAAAATCCGCTATAGAGAATTTTTCAAAAATATATCTACTTTAATGTTATAAAAATACAAACGAATATTACTGTTTTAATTAGCTGATAACTGTGTAACCAATTTTGTATAATTAAGTTTATAAAACATAAAATAGTTTCAAAATTAGAGTTGGACGTTTACATGATGCTACATTAGTTACACTATAATTCAGTTTTAGAATTTTCGATTTGTTAAAATTAAGGTTTTGGAAAAACCCTCATTATAGTTTGAGTTTGGTTATATTTACGTTTGTATATAATAATAATAATATAATATAATATAATAATAATATAATAAATATAGCACATAATCTTGTTTTGAAATATTAAATACAGTTGTACTAAATTATACATTATAGTCAAAGTTATAAGTTATAAGTCAAAGCTAAGTTTGCGCACCAAAACGAGTTCTGCAAAAAGTCTTAATGGAACATTTAGAGGGGAAAGAAGAGCTGAGTTTAGTTTCCTTAAGTATCAAGGGACTAAATCAACTTGGTCAAGTTTTTCTCAAGTAATATATCACAAAAATAAGAAAATTAAGATCGAAGTATCCACTTCTAGACTTTTAACTTTAGAACTACGCTTTAGATAACTTTTTTAGCAAGTATCCAAGTTTAAATAGTTTATAAATATAAATTTTCACCTAACCTCGTCTGACTGTTATATATCTGAAGTATAAAAATTTTTTTTATTCCAATCAATGTGTAAAAAAAGTAAATTATTAATAATAACACATTCTAGCGGCTGTGTTATTTCCCTATTTTAGAATTATATGAAAATTGATATTATCTTAGGATTACCAATGCTCACAAAAATAATGATTATAATATATATGTATACACGTATTTTATTAATTATTCGTGTTTCTGTGGGATTTCAAATAAAAACATAAAAATGTGGAATGATTGTCTGTTAGTTGTGCTCGTATGAAAGAAAATATAGTATAAACACACCTTTAACATATAATCTAAACGGTGATTCATCTTGTTGGAATATTACCCTTCCTATCAATCATATTTGCAACCCTTAATCCTGGTCAAAATTTTAATTTATTATTTTTCTAAATTTTATTCAGATTAATTAACA